GAGGCAGAGATGAGAGAAAGAAAAAAAAAAAAAGTTGAAGAGAGAGAAGAGAGGAGGGAGAAAAAAAATTTGAGTAAATATCCAAATTGGTCCCTGACAATAAACTCGGTACCCATTTTAGTCCCTACGTCCCACGTTAGTCCTTCTGTTATCCAAAACAAACGGCGTCGTTGACGAAGCTGATGTGTAACGTTAATGGGCATGGTCACTGCCACGTTGGAGGGGAAACGGTTAGAAATTTTATATGTGGGCAATATTAATTAATGACTTTTGTATTTTCTAAAATAATCGGGTTAATGGATATTCCAATTTATTTTATTGTGATAAGCCCATTGTGATCATGTTGAGTTGGACTTTTGGCATCTTTTGGTATTGGGCCTAGTTGGCAGCACAATGTAGGCATTGGTGTCTGATTGGGCTTCTGTGATGAGTGGACCCATTAAAAATACTGTTGATTAGGGTTTTGCTAGGTCCCCTCTCTAGCCTATTTATATTGGGGTTAAGCCTCACGAGCCGTCATGCTCCCATCGCTGAAAGCTGCCATTCTGAAATAGGTCATAGAGAGGAAGACTCTAGCTGTGACAATCAAGGTTCTTCGCTCAGTAGATAAGATGACTCAATCAGGTGCACAAATTTATTTCAGAGTAAAAATTATTATGTGGTGTTTTATATATCATACATATATTGATCTTGGTGTTAAAAATATCTTACAAGTGGTATCAGAGCCGGGTTGGGCTCGAGCTAGCCTGGTGATTGGCTAGGAGGCGGGTCAAGTACTTTGCGCTTCGGGTACTCGGTTGAGGGGGAGCATACCAATGGTGGGTTTCACACTTGAGGGGGAGATTGTTGAGATATTCAAGTGTGATGAGTCCCACATTGGTTGGTAATGAGCTAAGTGAAGAATATATAAGTGAAAGGACCCATGAACCCAATGCCTTAAGGTTTTGGGTTGAGACATGGTGTCGGATCCACTTGCTACGGTTGGTGTAGCCTTAGCTCATTGGTGGTGCCCCCCGCCACGGGCTTCCCCCTGGACCCGCCTGACAGAAACGACGTCGTTTGAAGAAACTTACTTCCACATTGCTCAGTGAAGATGCAGAAACAAATTGAACATCAATTTCATCAAAGGAACGTCGTCGTGTGCTTTAGGGTTCTTCTTAAACCAGAAAGAATGGGATTGAATCGAAGATTGAACGTTTAGGGTTTGGAGATTACTGATTTAGGTTTTATCCTTAATTTTGTAAGGGAGACTGGTCATTACCCCAAGACATGTAAGGGACCTACAACTCCTTCGTGGTCAAAGCAAAAACCAACTAATGTTGAAATTCAATCAAGGACAGTTGAAGAAATAGTCATGAGTCAAGGATGTCATGTACCAGAAACAAGCAGCCATCATGCAACAACTAAGGCTCAACCAAGTTCAAGAGCATCAAGAGGCAGCAGCCCACCTCCATGCAATCCTATTGTGGTTGTGACCAATGAGACAGTAAATGCAGCAAGTAGTGGCACTAGGGTCGGATTCATGAGCTTCATGTCTACATCAGGGTTCAAGCCACGAAGACCAGCCCCACAAAATTGATTGGAATATTGTGTAATCACTGACATTAGGTCATTTTTTGGATGCCTCTGATATAGGAATTGATTGGAATTGTAATTAGGATATTTTTTTGAAAATACTTCGGTATTGGCCCTGTTGAAATATGTCATTAGGTCATTTTTTGTATGCCTCTTGTTATGGCCATAGTTAGTAGGAGCATTATGCTTTTTTGGAACACATATGTAGTGGCCTTCATGGAAATATGGCAGTGGGAATTTTTTTTTGTATGACTGTGGCATGTTGGCCATGGTTAGTAATTGTAACTAGGATATGATGAAATGGATGCAAAATATTTGCTTACTATCTGTCTTTGCTGTCATTAATGTATTCAATGCTGCAATTTTTAAATTTTGGTCCACACCATCTGTCTGTTGATACACTTTCTGGTTTCTGTCAATAATGGTACTTTTGTTCTATTTGCTGTGTCCTTTTACGGGTCATGTGTACCTTCACTGCACTTGTAAACCATCAGCAATTAAGTCCCCTTATAAGTTCTCAACATTTTCTATTGAGGACTTTTTTAGTCCTTGTTTTCTAACTCATAGGTCCATTATGGTCCCTAACAATTTTATCGGGGGCCCTTTTCAGTCCCTGCTAAAGTTCTGTTAACAAGAATGTACATTTGCTATTAACAGACCAGCAATGTCATTTTCCCTTATTCATGCTGATATCAGTCATGACTAACACAATTAACTTCTGCATAATTCACACCATCACATTCTTACTTTAGTGTTCATACATTGTTTCCAATTTTTTTATCTGCATCAAGTTTATACAACACTTTGTATGCCTCTTAACATAACTTCAAATACATAAGCCAAGCTATATACATTGCACGAACAACATGTCATTATATTTCAACACTGGTCCTTCCATTACAAATCTTTACATTCCAAAATTGTTACAACATGTAATAGTACATACACCAGCAAATCTCAACATAACCACATTTTTTATTTCACTCCACCTTACTTGAAGATATATACATATTACAAACACAATAATAATGGATCCAGCAAACACCCTAGCACACCTACACACATGCTTAATTTCCTTCTCCACCCTTTCAAATTCTGTCTGCATCTTCATTGATAGTTCATCAATCTTTATATGGTGCTCATTAATCTTCTTCTTGTGGTCATTCACCTCCAGCTGCAGTTCATCATTGAGTTTCATGTCCACAAAGTTCAACTTGAATTCTATTTCAGCTACATTCAACTCCAGCTTATTAACTCTCCAATCTTCCAGCTCCATCGTATCAGATGTAACATCATCCACCCATGTAAAAAAGTTGCAGTGTGGCTTCTTTTCCTAACACCAAATTAAACCAAGCTGTTAATAACATTCAAATTAGACAAAGAACGCATGCAACAAAAATACCTCACCTTGAAATTGGGGCACCCAAAAAATGCTCTATTTGGGTTTCTAATGATCTTAGAGGTGTAAACAACAGTGTGCCTCCCACATTTACATAATGGGGCAACTCTCATTCTTTCACTTCTGGACCGAAATGAACTACAAGGGCTTGAGCTCCCCTTCCCAGAAGAAATATTTATCTCCTAAACACTAAGTTTCAAATAACGCACAAAATTAAGGATAAACCCTAAATCAGTAATCCCCAAACCCTAAACGTTCAATCTTCGATTCAATCCCCTTCTTTCTGGTTTAAGAAGAACCCTAAAGCATACGACGACGTTCCTTTGATGAAATTGACGTTCAATTTTTTGCATCTTCACTGAGCAACGTGGAAGCAAGTTTCTTTAGACGACGTCGTTTCCCCTCCAACGTGGCAGTGACCATGCCCATTAACGTTACACGTCAGCTCCGTCAATGACGCCGTGTGTTTTGGATTAATAGAAGGACTAACGTGGGACCTATTTGTGTTTGTTGGGAACTTTCCAGCTAATTTATTTTTGTTAGAGACTAAAATGGGTACTGAATTTATTGTCAGGGACCAATTTGGATGTTTACTCTAAAAATAAAAATTATTAATTTAGACCCCATATTTATCGATATTATAATAATATTGGAACGTCAGCAAAAAATTGTCAGCATGTATGTGTTCCTTCGGTTATATATATTCTGATATGATGTGCTATGCCCCATTGCCCCGTTACTAGTAGAACAAATGGCCAGTGTCCGTTACTGTGCCAGGCTATCATCTAAAAAATTAAGCACAATCTATTCTTCATATCTTTTCTCGTGTACAGTAAAACAAATTCTCCTACTCATTAAATACATTTAATTGAAAAATTTAATGAATTTTTTATCTTCTCATTTCATAGAATGACACATTAATGTTGCCCTCAGCATAATTATTTTTTTCTTAGTAGATAATATGGAAATATCGACACATAACTTTTTACAAACACCATGTCTTCGAAGTATGGTTCTAAAACTAGCTATTCAAAATTATTAAATATTATAATTACTAAAACAAAAACTAAAAGCATTTAATGTCTAAAAAAATCCAACAAAAAAATTTGAATTCGAATCCCAAAAATAAAATAAAAAAATCGTAAGAGATCCGCTTTGTATAATAAGTCTGACAATATAAAAAAAATGTTAAAATGATCCACTAGACGACAAAAATTGTTTATGTTAAAACATTCGAAAAACAATTTTTACTTTAAAAGGAGAACAGCCTTCTTATGCGGTAAAAACAATTTCTGTGAATCTCATTTATTTAAAAAAAAAAAAAAAAAAAAAAGGCTGGGCACATGAATCGATTTGAGAGCTGTAGATATTTTTCCAATACAGCCACATGAGATGTATAAACCCCTAAAACATTAGGAAGTGAAAAAGGAGAAAGCTAGGTGCATACAAATTCAATGCACAAACCCTTTTATGTCGGGATGAAAATTTCTGTGCGAGTAAAAAGTAACAGATAAAATTCTTGAAGCCACACATTCGAAGATGCTGTGTGATTTGCGTATACAAAATTTCCGTGCGTGGATAAAAGGGTGTAGACCAGAAGCATGTCTTAGTCTTACATAAGTGGGTGACACTCATGAAATTACCTTATGAATAGGGACAGTTCATTTACCCAAAGATGGTAGCTATACCACGGGAATGTAACATCTCAGAGCTGCACATCATGATCACCTCTCTTGCCAAGGTCCCCCCTATACTTTAGTCTGTTTCCTCACCCCTCCAATCACTGCTTGCCACGTCCATCCATTTTGGATAACAGTTTAAGTTATTTTTCATCTTTCCTGTCTTGTTCTAAATTGGCGCACCCCATTTTGGGTTCCATTCCATCTTTTTGCAAAGATGTTTCTTTCTACTACCCTTTTTCAATCCACACATCATTTAGGTGGTGCTATAAAGTTTGGGACGTTAAAACTTCAAAACCTTATTTAACTAGTATTTATATGCCTCCATGTGTACATAGCATATAGGATAGGATATATGTACATCAGTTTGTTATAATTTGCCCCTTAAAACATGTGGTGGTTTTGGCTACTATAAATATTCTAGTAAAAGAGCTTCAATATTCCCCTTGTTAGCCTCTTCTTGCTGTGTGATAGTGTTTGAGAGAGAGAGAGAGAGAGAGAAAGGGGAAGGAAGGAGATCATGGGAAATTGCCAAGCCATTGATACTGCAACTCTAGTGATACAGCAACCAAAAGGGAAAGTAGAAAGGTTATATTGGCCTGTGAGTGCAAGGGAAGTAATGAAGACAAACCCTGGTCACTATGTTGCCCTTCTTATCTCCACCACATTGTGTACATCAAAGGACAATGAAAATTCTCCAAATAAGAGTGACAACAACACCAACCCAGTTCGACTTACCCGAATCAAGCTTCTCAAGCCAACAGATACCCTTGTGCTTGGCCAAGTTTATAGACTCATCTCAGCTCAAGGTTAGTTGCAACTTTGATCCTGACCTATATATATATATTGTGGCCTTTCCTCTTAAAAAGTTTTATGCTTTCTTCCAAATTTGAGTCTTTATGTGCTTCTTGGGTTCAGAGGTTATGAAGGGTCTGTGGGCAAAGAAACAAGCGAAGATGAAGAGAAACTTGTCAGAATCAGCACAAAATTCAGATCAGAGTAAGGAAAAACCAGAGTTGGAGACAGACAAAACAGCAAGGAGGTCTAAGCCGGAGGACAACCAGGTATATCTCAATCAAAATTTGGTTTTTACTGTTTCTACTTCCAAGTAGTTTATCATTATTAAATCTTCAAGAACAGGAACAGCTTGAATTGGTGTTTAAAGTATTTCTGCTTATTGTCAAACAACATATTTTTTATGAACAGTAAATTTAGTTAATGGAGTATTTTATAAAAGGGTTGATTTTGCAAATTGATTCAGATTTATTTATACTAGCTAATTAAGGCTTGATTAGTTTGTTCAAGAACTTGCTACTTCATAATTTTCTTTTTCTTGACCCATTTACTCTCCTGTATTTACAGGAACCTAAGAAGTATTAGGATTTAAATTTAATTTCAAGGAATTAGACTACTGGATTTTGTTCAAGAAGGGAAAGAGCGAGAGAGAACTCTGTTCAATATGCTAATTAGTAATTGGTGCTTTCTCCCATGTAATTCTTATATTTATAAATTATTTTCAGGAAACAAAACCTGAAAGACATGGGTCAAGGACAACAGCATCAACTAATGCAGCTAGCACCACAGCTAAGTTAAGAACATGGCAACCCTCTTTACAAAGAATCTCAGAGTCTACCAGCTGATCTGTGTCTTCAATCTTACCAACATGTAACGTGAGGGACAGAGCACTCAAACCACCAAAATAAATCCCTCCATGATTGCTTAGATCTGTGGAAATTAAATATAGTGCATTCAGGGAAGTCAGGAACAACTAGGAGATGGTAACATTCTCTGCAGTATTGAACAATTGGGTTGGCGCATAATAATTGTGTATAGTAAAGGTTGACATATCGGACATCAATTAATGTATTCAGATATTACTCTCCAGTTAAACCAGGCTTCATCATCACAACAAGTTCACCCTTGCTTTTATGTGATTTTTAATTTTTATCAATACATGGCTCAAAATGATTAATACATCAACACAAGACAGATACTTACCAAAGATCAAAATATATGACCATAATAAATTTGCATTACGGGTAGAAAAAATAGTATAATACATTTTTTTTTAAAGAATATTGATGCGCAAATATTGTTATTATTTCTTCAGTTAAACTTTACCGTAACAAGGTCTGTCATATTCCACATACGGCTTATTACAAAGTGTTCGATCCTGGAATTGGTGGTTGGTATTTGTATCTTGGATCAGTATGCTTGTCGGAGTCTATGGAAGAAACACCGCAAGGGATAACGGATCACAGTGCACAATAATAATATTGGCATATAGCTAAAGACGTGGGGTGTGTGTGCAGACAAGAGAAGAAGGAATTCAGAATGAGTAGCTGATAGACTTAATCCTTTATTTATAGAATGGATTATCTGTAAGACTGTAAGTGTAGAGTCCTGATAATAATGTGACTGTTGGGGTAGAATAAATAAGTAATTTATACTTTATCTAATGTGATTATCCTTTTTCTTTAGTCTATCACATGTTGTTATGTTGTTGAGATATGGCCTCGTAAAATAGATTCAGAACACGAAGAAAACACATTATCTTAACGATATTTGTTAATTATCAACAATAATATTAGAATGGGGCAAGGGTTTGGTTGTCTTCAACTATGAGGGTATTTCTATAACATTTAAATCATTTTGAAGAAACAAGTAGTAAGATAAACGAGTGGAGTCCAAATAAAAAGTAAAAAGATTAAGGAGAAAGAAGATGGGACAGAACACAACATACTTGCAATCAATGTGCCTGTGCAGTTTATCACTTTAGACATCCGTGACACCCCAGGGATATTTTTTGTTGCATTAGAAGCAGAAGAAATTTTCTCATGGCCCATTATTGCATTATTCGTACCACAACTTTCTTTCTGTCTATAGCTAGTAAAGCAAAAGATCCCTTTTATTTTTCCTTTGTCTTTTTTAATTGTTTTCTTTCCCTGACTTAAAGATATTGCTTCAAGTCAAATAAATAAAACTATGCATATAGAATAGGACAATTGCAACCAGCTCACCACTCGTGCACTTGCTACGCATGAAAGTTAGTTGCACTGCACGAGGGGTCTCCAGATTCCATCATAGAGTACATAGAATTCCTTCTACACACGGCCCACCAATCTTTGGCTTCTTTAACTTTTCTTTTTCTTTTTCCCAATTGCTTTTTCAGTGTCTTTAAAATTCATAACATGTTGAGATATATAAAACCATTAAAAAGTTCTCATCCACAAACTTAAGTTTTTGGGTTGAATTGGTTCTTTACATGGTATCATAGCCTCGTGTCCCGGGTTCGATCCTTGTCGCCCTCGCTTTCTTTCAGGTGGAATTTCTTTATTCGCACAAGTAGATGGACGTGTAAAGATATATAAAACCATTAAAAAACCCTCAGGTTGAATAGTTTCTTTACATAACATCAGGCGCTGCGTTATTTCCTTCTTTCTTTTTTGTTTGTCTATTTTTCCCTTCCTTTTCCTTTTGTATATATGATGAACAATCATGGAGGATACACATAGATATTCGAGCAAACATGCTTTTTCTCTTTCCAGATTGCAGCTACATATATGTTTGGGTAATGAGTTTATATTATCTTTTTCGTTGCACACTGTTCCACAAGAATACTAGAGATGCATGTATATGATATATAAATAGATGAAAAAGAGGATGTGGATGTCTCTTTCGTCTTTTTTATTTTATTTTAATTTGTTAATGGATTCCAAAGAGATGATAATCCTTGTTGCAAGCAAATTCAATCAAACATAAAGTGTATATGTACAGAAAGAGACCAAATCAGAATGGGAAGCAGAGACCAACAGCTTGTAAACAAAGAAACCGCCTTCAAAGTTGACTGATAATGTATATGACTTTATCAGTCGTTACAAAATCCTTCTCTCTGGCTGCACTAAATAATCAACCAACTCAGAAAAGCAGTTCGATTCTCTCCAATATTATTTTTGGAATGAGTTTAAGGTTTTAATTTCGTAAAATCCATCTCAAATAAGACTAGAAATGATGAACTGATTGAAATATCTCAAAAAAAAAAAAACAAACAAAGACATCTATAATCCTTTATCTAGGTAGTAATTAGCAGTGTTTAAAAACCCGGCCCGGCCATCGACCCGGCCGAGGTCAGGGGTCATGGAGTCACGGGTTCAACCGAGGGGTCACGGGGTCACTATGCTGATCCGGTTTTATATATTAAAAGTATATAAATATATATATCATATATAAAAATATTAAAAAACAAACCACTAATTATCAAAGATTCAAAATATACTTAACATAATTATCTAATTACAACCACAAGTCAATATTACACAACTTAATTAAAGTATCAAGATACCAAAGTACAAAACTCATATTCTAATGGGATCAATACGCTGACCCGGTTCTGCCTCTTTCGAGAAGGTCCCTGACAAAGGAAAATTTAAAGGAAGTAAGAATGAGTTTTTGTTTTCCATCGACGACCGCAAGGATTTCATTTGAATAGATAAAATTCTTACCTTTTCTAGAAGATTCACGTCTACGAGGTGAAGATTGAAGACATATAGGTCACTGGGAGAGAAGAGAACGATTAGATTTAGGTTTGAAGCATTTTTATTTTTATTTTTTTAATAAAACGAAGTTGTTTCATGGAATTTATTTTTTTAAAAAAATAAACATACAGTGACCCCCTTTGACCACTCTGACCCGGGAGTCACTGAAACCCGGCCGGGTTTTGGGAGTCGGAGGGGTCGATGTGCATATAGGGTCCAACTTGTGACCCCAACCCTCAGAGGGTAGGGGTCAGGGTTGACCCGGGTCAACCTGGGGGGTGGGGTGGGGTTTTAAAACACTGGTAATTAGAAGGCGTTTAGTAGATGAGATATTTTTTTTAACAGGAAAAAAAGATTTTCAAAATTATGGTGAGAAATATTTTTTTCCGGGCCAGTTACAAAAAGGTATTTGGTAGGGCAAATTTTTTTCGAAAATGTTAGTTTAATTTTACTGATGCTATGTTTGATTGATTGTAGAATATTGATGGGAATCTGAACCGAAATGACAAAATTACCCATTATTTCGAATATTGAATCTCTTGTCAGTGATCGAACGTTCATTATACTAGGGCATTTTCGTCTCAAAGTGTTATGTGTTTCCTAGTCAGTGGGAAAAAAAATAATACCATAGGTGGGATGGTATTATTTTTGGGATTGTGTAGTTAAAAATAAAATGATGAGAAAAAAATATCATAGGATTATTTTTACTATTACTTATACCAAACATGGGGGGGAAAATTTCTCATCCCATTTTCCCAGCATTTCAACTAAAAAACTTATACCAAACACCCCTTACGTTCCAGGACATAAAAGAGCGGCTGCGGATTCCTCAACCTTAGACACAGTTTGCATCACGTTCACACATATGATGTGTTACATAAACATAATATAAAATAATTAATTTCTAAAACTTAAATTTTTGGGTTGAATTGATTATTTTATATGTTTCTTCAACATAAACAAAATAGTGATCTATTTACATGATTTGGAAACCTTAAAATGAAAACTTAATAAATTTGATTAAAGAGATGAAAAATAACATCATAAAGCTTCGAAGCAAAAAAAAAATTAGATCCATCTATTAAAAATGTTTTGAATGCAAAATAGAACCTTGAAACTCCTAAATTCAGAATAAAAATACGAACTTAACATCTCAAATTGTTAAAATTGAAGTCATTAGATGAATTGTTATTAAATTATCTTTTACACATTTAATTAAACCAATGTTAATGCTATTTGGTGTTTTAGACAATTGGAAAGATATGAAGATAGAAACATAATGATTGTTGTATAAATAGATGAAATCTCATTCATAATGTCTGGCGCTTGAGCACACGTAAGTTAGCAGCACCTGAGCGCTATAATGCAAAAATTGGAATGTTGCTTTTGTGTTGGTTGACGCCTAGGCGCTTAATGCACTAGAATTAAAATTGCTCTTAGGAAGCCCAATGCCCAGGCACCCAATACACGCTAAAATCCTCAACATTGTGATTTGAGTGCGTGAGCGCTCAACAGTTAGGTGTCGGGTGTAATATCTCGGGTGCTGACGAGGGCAATATCTCGGGTGCTGACGAGAGCAGGAAGTAGATTGTCTTTTGGTATGTGAGTTGGACTCTACTGTTAGAAATCAAACTCAATTTGAATCTCTACACGACTAATCTAGATTAGTCGTCAAACTACAAGGCTAATTTGCTACGCCAATCTGGAAGCTTCTAAAAACTTATGGAAGCTTGCGGAAACTCATGGAAGCTTGTGGAAACTTAAGGAAGATTGAAGAAACCTATAGAAGAATCAAGAGACATACTGAAGCAAAAGAGGAATGAAGAAACTAGGAAAAGAATCTAGAGATCTCATTAGGCAACTATAAATAGGAGTAGAGGCTCTAGGTTAGAAACAATTGTGGGAAGTTACAATATGTGAGAAGAAGCAAGAAGTGAGGAAAGAAAGAAAGAGAGAAGAGTGTCGAGTAAAAGTGAGCTTGAGAGAATAAATAGCAAAAGTAAGTGGGTGTAAGTTGAAGTAGTCATTGTAAAGTTTAAGTGTGAAAATACTTTTAATTTGAGTTTCTCCTAATACAAGTTGTATACTTTCTTCTTCAACATGTTCTACCAGTGGAAAATCCTAGTGCTTGGAGTCCAGACCCGCTAAGGTAGGAGGGCTGTGACAATAGGCTCCTAGCATGCTTCCAACAGGATGGGTACATAAATGAATCGAATCAACACTCGAACGAGAGGGATTCAGATGCTGTGCAAATATGAGACTGTACAATTAAGGATGACTTAAAGGAATTAAAATGTATTACCTATACTAATAAGGTGCATCTACTTTTCGATAGCTCATAACTTAAGAACTTCATAGTTGAGTGTGCTTGACTTGGAGCAATTCTGGAATGGGTGACTTCCTGGAAAGTTCCTCAGAAAATGTGTGAGTGAGGACAAAGCATGCTGAAAAATCTTGTGTTGGTTTATGGGGACAGTCATTGATCCTGCAAGTGGCCGGGTGTTACATCCGGTGTCGCATCTTTATAAATATGACCTTCATGAGTGACGACTATGAGCTTTTCTTGCGAAGTGATTTGTCTGCGTATGTTTATGGTGGGAGAAGGAGTAATCTATAATGGAGATATCAAGTCCAATCTTCTTCCCCAATATCTTAATGGGGTTTTCTTTTACTTCTTGCTCTCTCTTGTTCTTTTTTGTATAGTTTTTCTAATTTTCTTGTGTTAATGTTAGATGGAAACCAATCAAATTTTGATTTATATTTTCAATACAATATTTTCTTTCAATATTGAGTGAATTATTTTTCCTTGTTGATTGATTTTAGGTTTATATATGACAAATAGGAATGTTAGTATATAAACTAGACTTGGATAATTATACCATATCATTATATGATTCTAAATATAAAAATATGAATATATCAATATTCATAATTTTTTGTTTGTAATAGTTAAGCCCTTGTAAGAAATGCTATGATTTAGTTTTCTTGGAAGGGAGTAAATGGTCAAGATACCAAGAAATTAGATTTTAACTAACTTTGTTGAATTAATTGATGATATTGAAACAGAAATTAATTGGGAATTTAATTCAAGTTACATGAGTGAAAATTGGTGGAAGTCGAAACCCTAAATATTTTTATTAGTGCAACTTTCTCGTGTTTAACCTTTGCTTTACTTATTTAATTACGTTATTAGGTTTTGTCTTAACTTTTATTTTTCGCAATTTGGTTCATTGTTCTTATATCTAATTCATTTCACGTAAACAAAATAATGTGAAGCGGAGCTACGTTGGTGCCAGCAGGTGCCTTGGCACTGGCTAATTTAGCCACGTTTATTTAGCTACGCTTGAAATGTAGCAAATCATGTTTAAAGTTTTTTGAAAATGAGCCACATTTTGATCGTAGCTATATAATCGTAACTATTTTGACATCAGCTGAATTTTTTGACACTGACTAAAATGTCGTGCTGGCTCCGCCACTCGTCGTGATTGAAACACAACTCTGGTAAGAATAATACTCTTTCATATCACTTTATTGCTTTTACAACTCATACACCAACAGCTATCATATGATTTAAAAGAATAATAGAAGAAAGTACATACTATTTACTTCCCAAATCTCAACCTCCAAAAAAATTTGCTACAAAATCATAGTTCTCGTTACAAGCTTGCCTCACAAATATTATAATTACATATATTAAAACAAATGGAACTGGGTATTGCAACAGTGCCATTTGAAGCCTAAAAAGAGTCATCATCTGAACCTGCATTACCACTGTAATGTGAAAGTTGCATAGTATTGCTACTCGGATGTTGAGTTCTCGGTCATCCCTTGAACATTTTCAAGCTTATCAAATTGACTGAAGTTGCCCTTCTGCTTGAAAAGCTGAGTATGGTGGTGTCTACAATAAAGACGATGTTCATGGGCCACATAATTTGATGGGCTAATTACACAACCTCTATGGGTGCACCTGAAACAAGCCTTATGGTAACATTTGCCATCAACAGTCACCTGAAAAATATTAGCGGCAGTGCCATCAATCAATGGAGGCAGTTGGGCCTCAACCACAGGAATATAAGACACAGGGTGATCTAGGATATTCAATGGTCCAAGCAGATCTAACAAGGATTTAGGTAGTTTACACCAGGTAGTTATATTACAGGAGGAAGAGTAAATATCCTTTTTAGTTCTTAGCAAATTTTATCATGTCCGTTTTAGCCCCTAGCAAATAAAAAGGCTCATCGTGGTCTTTAAGAAATTTAAAATTGACATATTTCACAAATTCAAAAAAGATCCATATTAGTCCCTAAAAGGATTAAAATAGGTCCATTTTGAATTTCTTAAGGACCACAATGGATCTTTTTATTTGCTAGGAACTCAAGCGGGCATCGTGAAATTTGCTGAGGACCAAAAAGAGTATTTACTCTTATAGGAATGGTCCAAGCAGATCTAACAAGGTTTTAGGTAGTTTACACCATGTAGTTATATTATAGGATGTAGGATATTCGTACTATTAATTATTTTTACTACTAATTTATTAGAGATGTGAAAAATAATCAAAAAATTGAACTAAATAGTGAATCGAATTGAACTGTATTTAAAATAATCGATTTTTAAAAACTAATTAATGAACTAACGATTTTTAAAAAAATCAGTTTATGAACCGAACCAGTTTTTAAAGCCAGTTCAAGAACCAAACCGTTTTCGAACCGAATTGATTTTTATTATTTTATTTCTTTAATTTTTAATTTTTAATTTTTAATTTTTTTTTTTTTAGAATAAGGTCGATCCGAACCGGTTCTGAACTGAACCGAACTGTTTAAACCAATTCGATTTAGTTTTTCAAAAAAATTGGTTCAATTCGACCCATGGACACCCTAATAATCCACTACTATTCTACTAAAATTATGTACTTCGGAGAATATATTAAAAGTTATTTTTCTTTTCTCTTTTTTCAAAAACTTTTCAGAGATTGTCGACTAAAAAATGGGATCTAACGGTGATTAGGGTGATAGTGAATTGATAGTAGAAATAATTGGTAGCAAGAATATCCTACCTCATATTTTAATTTGGCTGTTTTTTCACTCTTTTTTTGGGCATAGATTGTTTGAAGCTAGATTTTCTAGTTGAACATTTGTGCTAGTGTGAACTGCGTTATTTTCTCGCACGTTTTTGTTCAATCTACATAATAATTTAGAAAAAAAATGACTTAAACAATAAAGATAACCAAATGATTTCACCAGAAAAAAAAAAAAAAATCACCAAATGACTTCTAAAGTGAATTTATGATTTAATTGAAAGTGCATTATAATTTTAAATTGCTTAAATTTAAGGATGTATCTAAATAATTAGAAGTTTGCTAAAAATAATTATATACCTTTTCAATTGGATACACTGTTTTGTTGCAACCAACACACTTTTCCTGAGTTCCGGAAAACAATCTCGATACCTTGCTGTTGGTTTGGACCTGTTAAATTCCTAGAGACAATTTAGTTTGTGCATCGGAAATCAAAGAGCTAAGTAGCAAAAACCTTGGGATTTGGATTCTCTCGTGTATAAAATGGTTACATGGTCATGTTGTTTTATCATAATCACTTATTTAAAAATCATACATTTTTCTCTCTCTTATGTCATTATTAACGAGTGATTGTAATCAAACAACATGATCACTTTTTCATTTACAAACACCAAATAAGAATCCTAAGGATAAAAAGGAATATTTTGTTTGTTAAGAATGTGTACAAACCTGATCTGCAGATCTTTCGATTCTAGCAATTCGTGGAGTACCTACAAGCAATAAATATAACATATGACAGGAGAAAAATAAAAATAAAAATAAAAATACACAACTTAAAAGAAGTGCTTATGCATTAGAAACAATTACATAGTAGCAATTCACCTTCAAAACTTTTGTCCAAGCTGCCAGTCATCTTAAAGAGTTGATCAAAATGAGGCTTACAGTATAGAACGCCCTCAAATGAACAATAATTACTCAGCTGCAGGGATGCATAAGGAAATTAGGATTAATGTGCAAGTCACTGGCTCCAATTTCATGTTACTTGCTTACAGATTCAAAGTTGGAATTTTTTTTTCTAAAACTAATGAGTCAGCTGACACCAATGGAAATGAATAAAAGTAATTTAATGTGCATCCCAAACTCAAATATCACAGAATAAGCAGCAGTTAGATAAATGGTATGCTTTATGAACTCTTAAATTTCTATAAATAAAATAAAAAATAAATAAAGGAAGCATTCATCAAAACAGAGAAAACTCAATTTCTCACCTTGAGGGTACCCTTGCAGTGGTGACATCTGAAGCAAGACTTGTGGTAGACCTTGTTATCAGCAGTTAGCTGTTCCACCCAGTAGACTTTCTTTTCACATACTTTGCACTTCTGGGTAGTGCCTGTAAATGATGCCATCTCAAATCAAGAGTCAAAAATCTAACCTTGAGGGTACCCTTCTTGCTTTCTTGCTTGTTTTCTTCCTTCCTCTTTTTTTCAAATTCTGTGTTGTAGAAACTTACAGCTCATGTATTCCAAATTTGTGATCATGCTAACTTAATGGGTCTACATTTTAGACTTATATTAAAGACAAGTCACAATAATAATAATAAAAATAATCTGTTAGCTGTATTCATAATGGCAAGTTTGATGATTTGATTTGGAGCCACCTGATGAGAGCTTTGGGCCACCCTTACCATCATCATCAATATCATTATTCAGTGTTATGTTAATCAAGTGTATATTGACATTTTTATCAGAGAACTGATATGGTTTTCCTTCTAATCACCTCTGATATTTACCAATCAACAAAAAGAACAATCAACTTTCGTACAGATGAAATTGTAAATGATTTTTCTCATGTGATTTTAAGTTAAACACCAATAACACAAGTGAATTTATTTCAATGACATTTTTTTTTCCTGTTGTGCATACTAAAAAGTTAAGCAAATAAAAAATAATGACATGAGTTAAGAAGATATTTACCAAAATTAACATTTGCTAATGACCATATATCTTATTAATATATATATATTTTTTAAAAAAAGTTGCCCTTAAAGAAAGGGGCATGGTGACCCAACACACAAGAATTTGAGTAGTTGCGGCTCCATGCTGCCATGCTCAGCCGAAAGATTTGACTGAGAAATTTTTTAAGGTCAAAAAGGGAGGGTGCAAGCACAATTCTCTAATTCAAAGCCTATGACCGTGGCCCATCGTTTTAACTTTTAATTGTTAGCAGTGTAATCAATCACGAGGAGGCACCTCCTCAATTCAAAATTTTATCCCGTTTTGCTTTTGCTTAAAAAAAAAAAAAAAATCATTTTTAAGCATTGATTTTTATATATTTTTCTTTAAACTTTTTTTTTTGTAAGCTTTTCTTTAAACTTTTTGTTGACTATGATTGCTACACGAATATCTAATTATTTGAGTTCATATGTCATTTGATTGAATTTAAAAAATTATTTAATAGATTTTAAATTGAATTTAACCAATATACTTTTAAAATATACTAGAATTTTTCCCACGGTACGTAGAGGAGTAACCTTACACACTATAACTAAGGTGTGTTTGAATAAGCTTTTTAAAAAATAATTTTATAGTCAATTTTAAATTTTTTTTCCCGAAGCTAATCTTTATATTTTTTTTAAGAATAAAAACATTTTTATATATTTATTTTCTTAATAAAATTATCCATTTATCATAAAATTTGAAAATATAATTTTTGATTAAAAACGTATACTTTTCTTTTTTTAAAAAAAGCTTAAATAAATGGGTTCTTAATACAATTTTGAGGACCACTAACAAAATTATGTAATCTGCGTTATTAACAACAGTTTAAACAACTGAAAAATATTTCTGCAGTTACTGCATATTTATCTTTATTTATTTTTAAAATGACGTCGTTTTGAAATTGAAAGATTAAAAAATTATAATTATAATTATAAAGACTATAATAATCCTGAAATAAATTAAAATTACAAAAATATTATAATTTTTATTCCAAAACGATATCGTATTGGACTTGCTGCAGATAACAACTTATCTGCAGCATCCGCAGACAAAAAAATCCTAAAAAGAATATTTCAAAAGCTACTAAAAGTAGGATTAAGACGAACATCCCAAAATTGAAAGTTCCAAAATATTTAAATATATAATCAAATACAAAGCAGACCGTAAGAATATTCTCTTAGTTAATGGAGAGAATGATTTATTCCGAGCAAAAGTTTTGAAGGATAGTTATATTTATAAATTTTTTATTTATAAATTCTCGTAGCCACATTGCTTCAACTAAGTAGTTAAGGAATTTTGTAGGGTTATTTGACCTTTTTGTCCCTTATTAAATAAAAAATAATCATTTTGTCCTTGTACCAAAATTATATACCAATTTGTCACTGTTTAATCGATTAAACGAGGAAAGTAATCAGTTAAGTGTCTAAAATTTAGTTAATCGATTAACTAATAGATTAAACTGCGACTTTTTGGACCATAAGTTTTTGTCAAACCATATAAATGAGTTACAATGAATCATAATTCTTCCATCCTGAAAATCACATCCGGGGGTGGTGGAGAAGCACATGCCATCACTGCTACCTTTCTTGGAAGTGGCTTTCAGACTTCAAGTGGTGAATTTATTATCATGTTTAAAATTGTTGGTGCTCCCCTATGTGGATTACCTTGTGCTTATAAATATTGTCAAATATCCCTTCGGCAGTTACACTTCTTTGGCAGACATTTGTGCCACCCTGAGCCACAATACCCCAAAGGAGACACTATCCATTACAATGAAACATTGGAACGCACAATAAATATATAGGCATAGACCTCATCTCATTAATAAGAAATGTACCTATTACGAAGAGGAGGAGATGAGCTGTTAGATATAATACATTGTATAGAATAGTTACTGTGATGGTATTAGAAATGGAATAGAATGTTAGTAGTCGGTTATACATGTTACTGAGTTAGCCATTGTAATAGTAATTGTGACGTGGCATTGGTTGTTACACTCATAGCTTGATGTCATTAGAATAAAAGGGACAGCTGTTGTAATTGGAAACATTCATTGAGAAATATACTTGTTCTTTCTTTCGTTTTCTTTGGTTTTCCTTCCCCAATTTCATTGTTCTGTTGCAGAATCTCCATTAAGGGTTCGCGTCCCTTAACAGTACCCTAAAGTAGCAACGAACCAGGAGGCAACCATTTTCTCTTCCTTAGACGCAACCTCTTGTTTGTTTTTTTTTTTTTAAGTTCCTTCAATGGTAATTGTTTATGATGATTGCGTTTGCAGTGAAGGAAAAATATTTCTGCAAACGCGTGGATAAAAAAGAGTTGCCAAGCTTTTTTTAAAAGTAATAATTTTTCTATCAAGTTCAAGTTAAAAAAGGTTGTGTTTACATCATCAACTTAATAATTTTTTGTAGTGTGAAATTAGAACATGCTCCTTGGTTTGGGTTTGTATGATCAAATCAGAGCAGAGCAAAGGTGATTGTGTTGCAAAAGACCAACTCTGCTACTTGACATTTCGCAGATTGTCAAGATCGTCCCTAACTTTCTTTTCCTTCAACGTACTTTGGGAATTGTCTAGCCACTTGCATTGTGGCAATGAAGAAAAGTGAGCTAGTGGAAGAAAATAATATCATTGATCGAATGAATAAAAAGTTGCAGACAAAGACAATATTAGCGGCTCTAGTAAGAAGAGCCATAGTATAATATAAAAAAATCGCGATTTAATCGATTACTTAATCGATTAACTAAATTTTAGACACTTAATCGATTAATTTCATAGTGTAATCGATTAAACAGGGGCAGATTGATATATAGTTTTGGTACGAGGGAAAAATGGTTATTTTTTATTTAATAAGGGGTAAAAGGGTCAAAAAACCAATTTTGTAGTATAAAAGAATGATTTAATATTTCTCATCTGGTAAAAGATAAAATTATTTCTTATACATACATAAAAATATATGAAATTCATATTTTCTTTTTTTTTTCTTTTTTCTCTTTTGTGAATCCTATTTATTTTTTATGTGTTATATATGAAATAAATTATCGCATGCAACGTAAGAAACATATTTCCCATAAAAGAATGCTTTTGCAAAGCATACATTTATTGATGCCCCAAATCTATTTTTTTTTTTTTGGTAAACTGACCCAAATCTATTCTATAAGAGATTTATTATTCTTATGTTACGTAAAAAAGAATTTATTTCCTACACACACAAATTCAAAATGGGTCTCACTCTATTTATTTTTTCTCTTTCCCTGAAAGTGGACTCCACCTGCATAAATGAGTTTGTAGAAGTGTTAATAGTTATCTCCTATTGCATAAGAAAATTATCATTTTAGTTGCTAATCGTTTATCTATAATAAATTAAAACAAAACATGATGTAGGCGCCAAAATGAATAGTTGGAAGAATTACAATAAAAAAAGCATATATAAAGTTGAACAGAAACAATTATTTTTTAATTTGATTGGTATATGATCCGGACCTAATGTAGAGGCTCAATTGTAAACAGAGTCTAAAAGGCCCACCCATGCGACATAGTCGCAAAGACAAACTATTTCGCATAGAAGCATGGATCTCACTACATATTTGGCCACCAAGCTTACATAATTTGAACCAGAAAGAAATCATCATTGTCAAAATCAGCAGCTGAAGCAAGTTGTCCATCGTCAGTAACCAGTGAAAGGTTGGCAGCCCTTGCTTGCCGCCATGGACCGCATAGTCTACTTTGAATATAGGCTTACCCATTAAGAAATAGCTTAGGAGAGCTCACCCCTCTCCACCAATCACACCACCTCATGAAGGACAACCAGTTGCGGAACCAAGATTTAATTTTAGTCGGGGCCAAAAATTTTGACATATCAAATTATCAAAAAACATTCATAATTACACAAATCTATTAGGAAAAAAATTTACTTAAAATTTTCAAAATAATAAGATCGATGTTATTTTAAAAAATAATAATAATTTATTTAAAATTTAGAATATAATATAAAATTAAATTAGTAAAGAAAGTGCAAATTATATGTATATATACATATATGAAATTTTCATATGATTTTTATGAATTTTTTCATGTGATCTTTGGTAACATTATTTCATGTGATGTTAATGAAAATTGATTTCATGTGATCTTTGTGAATAAAATTTATTATTTTTTATATTTTAATTTGATTTGGGCCTATAAAATTTTAGTTTGCAACTTGGTAGGCCTTACAAGTCGTATTAGGACTTTTTATTTTTTTATAATAGGTCAGGCCAGACTTATAAATCAAGTCTTTAATAGGCTAATAGGTCAATATAGGTTTTAAATATTTTACATAGTCTTAGACTATCAAAGTCAAAGTCTGGCCTAACTTGGCCCATTTATACCCCTAGCCGAGACTTGTGAAGAACATCAACATATAGGGACAACAAACTTCACAATTAAAAAGAAACATGGAACAATCAGCGACAAATGTCTAAAATCATTTAAATGACACTGGATCCACATAAATCATTTAATTAGTGTTTAGATATTTTTAAAAATTTAAAAATACAAAAAAAGAAGTTGTTAATGGAGATGTATAAGAAATTTCCATACTCCATATATATACATATATCTTTATTGATTTTTCTCTTTAACAGCTTTCACTGATTAATCACCAAAATTCCCATTCTTGTTGTGAGATAAAATACAAATAACACCAAGAAACAACTCAGTTCCATTACCAATAACAACTGTAGCTCTACATTAAAAAAAAGGTAAACGTAAAATAACACTCCATTTTTTCAAAAGAAATAAAATCAATAAATACAACCACAAAAAAAATCTTCGGTTGGGGGATTAGTCTCGTCCTTTCTCCGGTTGCGAAACTTAGTGCACCCACTGTTACAATGAGGGGCTAGCCCAAACGAGCCGTACCCCGAGGGCATGGTGCCCGGAGAAGGTTGAATGGGGATACCTGCTGGCAATGTACCCAAAAAAAAAAAAAATTGTTAATAAAAATAAGGGGGCATGAATTTCACTCAGGTTAGAAACACCCAATAAACAATTATGGTCAGCAAAGACAGAATTTTACTTTTATAAGGTTCAAAAATATAAATCAATTTTTTTCCAGCGGTCAATATAATTACCAATGCATATTCCAAAAATAGGTATCCGTAAAATCTTGAAGAAAGAAACGAAACATCGCACCTTGTCGTAGAATGGCTGGGTTTCGAGTTGTGACTGCGAATAAAAAAAAGGTTAGAAGAAAATCCCAATTGGGAAAAGATGGAAGAAGAAGAAGAAAAAAAAGAAGAAATTAAGAAGAAAACAATCTGTTATCTAGTGATACACGCAAAGCAGCTCCATATTTTCATCTGTTACCACTATTACAATTTAAACTAAAACCAACTTACAAATTTAGCTAGGGCTCAACTATAATTACTTATATAATTATATACAATAAATAAAATTTGTTGAAATGTAGCTAGGGTCCAGGCCCTACCTAAGTATAACGTGGCTACGCCACTAAGGACAGTGAATCAGTGATAAACACGGCGCTCAGTCACTATAAATACAGAGGTCATTGGTCTAAGTATAATATCTCTCTTTGAATACTTGAGCCTCTTTAAATATTAAATTGACTTAATTGTCGGAATGTCTTTGCAGGTACCCTCAGTCGTTCTCATACAACCCAGTGAAGCACAAGCGTTGTCCAATCATCTCGCTTCACTATCAAACTCCAAGCATCTCGCAGACAACATAATCTCTTCCATCTCTTCATCAACATCCTCCATCTTCAACCGTGTGTGATTAGGCTCAGCCCATTTGATATTGGACTGATCAGTATCTATAGGGAAAAAGAATTTTATATTGATATCAATATTTTGATATATTATTTTTTATTAATAAAAATAATAAATAATAATGTTCTAAAATATTAATAAATGTCAATGTCAAATTTCCTTTTATTGACAATGCATAAAAAAACTATTGATAACAGTAAGGAGTTAGGATTATTTACGTGAGGTTATAAATTTAAAGTTTAGTTTTATCGCTACATATAAAAAATTTATTTTTATTAATAGTGCACAAAAAATAAATTCTATTTATTTTGTACTGCTAAAATATATAAATCACATGTTTATCTCTCTTGTGCTTTCCTACTTAGATGTTTTTTAATCTACTATAGTGCAAATTCTTTCTTTTTAGTAATGTTATATCCTCCTAATAGTTCCACTGATATTTAATATAAAAGTATTAAATAAAAATAGATGCAGTTAATATCTTAAAAATATTGAATATTTTTCATTTAATAATTAGAAAGAATACTAGGAAAATTAATTAGGAGGATTTAAAATTATTAATTTTTTGCCATTAATTTTAAATTCTATTAATCAATCCTCATTCGAATCCCTTGAATTATCAAATTGAAAAGTATTAAAAAAATTATGTTCTAGGAACTTTAGAATAAATCTCAAAAGAGAGATTATCGTGAATTGCTTAAGTGTTTTGCTCTTTGTATATTGATATTTATATGCGTAAAAGATTAAGTACAACTTATATCTACAAGAATAATAAAAGGATGGATTCTTTTCTAAGGTCCTATTGTTCCCGATGCATTATTAATTCCTATTGTTTCCAAAACTATAATAATTACATATAAATTATATGTAGTAACTTTGTTACCTAAGTAAATTTAAGGACCCCTAAGACACTTTGTCAATTTATCTGCTAGTTGATTACTGTAGCTAACACATTTGGTGATAATTTTGTTGGAAAGACTTTTTTGTGGACAAAATGACAATATATTTTTATATTCCTAGTCTTTTTTTATTAAATAAATTGGGCGGAGCTAGACAAAAATTTTAGCCCGTGCCAAATATCAATTCTTGAAAAAAAATCAGCTAGTACCAATTATGGAGGAAACTGTACTTTTTATAGTTCTATAAATATGAAATCAACCATTTTTAAAAATCAGCAAATGCCAAGATATTTACTAGTTCTAAAATGGCTCCGTCTTAATGGATTAAAGATAATATGTAAAGCTATTTGATTATCACAAAACAATTTCATGTGTTTCTATTCTTAAAGTAGTTGTTTTATTTAAAGGGAAATAATTTTCTTATGTTGTAGGAAAATGCTTATCTTATGTTGTAGAAATAAGATTGCAAGTGGGACCATAGGTAAGAGGAGAGAGAAAAAAAAAAAAAATGGGACCCACCTAGCTTTTGTGTGTGTAGGAAATGTAGTTATCTTATATAAAAGTAGATAAATATAACCCTTATTTAAATGGGCTTACAAGTAAATGTCGCCATAGCTCTATTTTCTGCGCAGTTATGATACTACACGTTGTTTGGCTCTGCTCCACGTGTATTTACATCCTTGTGACTTGTGAGTTCCATTCTAAGCATCTCAGGCTTAATGATTACATAAAAAGAAGCTGTCATTAAAGATCTTTGCCAGCAACAGGTAACAACTCCAATCAATACGATCATCATATTCACAAATATGACAAAGCTTGATTGGAGAATTGCATTTAACCGCTCAAAAATGATCATCAACTCCTCTATCTCCTAACTGATTACCCTCAAATTTGATGGTAAAGCCACAAATTTGTATTCTACCAATTAATAATATCTGCAGGAAGCATACATGTTAGATGAAAAAACTATTGCTGCCCATGCATTTTTGGTTAATATGACAAACCAAAAGAGGGTCCATATTGTTGCAGAAAGATAACATGCAACAAAAACATACCACGACAATATTCACTCATCGTGCACTTTCAGCGATTCTCTGTTCCTGAGCTCCTTCTCTTGTTGCTGCTTTGACATATATTTCATAACAGCATCATAAAAGTATACAAATTATGAGAGACGTTATACTTACTACCTCTTTTTCTTATTATCTCTTACTACTAAATCTTAACTGTTGATTTCCGTCAATCTAACGGTTATAATTTATTGAAAAATTAACAATTAATTAATAAGTATGACCCAATAAATTACAACCGTTAGATTGACGGAAATCAACAATTAAAATTTAATAGTAAGAAGAAGAGGTAGTAACTATAACCTTCTCCACAAATTAATACTTTGAAAAGATTTATCATGAAGTGACAAGAAATAAAAGAATGGAATTTTGAAAGATTGTGTAGGTTAAAGATGTTAAGATTTGACTAAATGATCAATGTAGACAGACATACATACACAAAAAAAGACCTGTTGACACAAAGCATGCTCTTTTCAGTGGTTATTTTTTCAGAGAAAATTCTAGAGAATAATATTTATTAATTTATGATATTCAGCAACTCCAGTATATATGAAAAGTAAACTCGTTTGAGCAATTAAAAGGCAACAGCACAAGCATAATGGATTTTGCCAAACCTCGAATCTGGTTCAGAACATTTCTAATTTAAGCAAGTCAATAGTTGGGACTTATTTCGACCAGGAAATAATGAAAAAATAATTTGGATTTTCCGAGGAAAATATGTCTCATTACATGAGATAAAAATTATCTCATGCACACAAAAAGTGGATCAATTTTACTTTTTTTCTTTTTCTCATTTTTCCTTAATAAGTCTCAATCACTTTTTTATATGTTGTATAAAACAATATCATCCCATGCAATATGAGAAATATATCCCCCTTTTTCTAAACATAACAAAAACACTCAAAACTGTAAATCTGACACCGTTGTGCACATTTTTAGCTGGTCTGTTTAGTTTGGCAAACACACCCTCGAACGTAAATCAAATCATCCGTGCTGATAAATAGCATAAACTTTTATTTATAAAATATTTCAGCATATATTATGTTTATTGTAGTTTATTAAGAATATAACAATGTACGTCTAAAAAACTCTTAACACTCTTATTAATCATTGATTCTACTTGATCAACATTCAAAAGGTGAAAATCTGATTTTGTTGGACAAAGCATGATTACAAAAATATGATCCAGAATAAAGGTCGCTGGATCTTGAAATTACTACTACTACTACTACTACTACCTTACTAAGCATCTGCCAACAAGCAGAAATCCTCTCCTGACTGTAAAATAAAAGTATTTACAACCAAATATCTGACAAATTAAAGGGAAGAGCAACTCTATGACCTCTGGCGAGCTATAAGAGCCAATGCATAGAAGATGTATTTACATCTAAGAGAAACCATAACTTTTCTCTAAAAACTGAACAGAATTTTTTGGGCTGCATTCATCAACACAATGTACAATTGTAACTGAACCTTCATGCTCTTCACAACCTTTTAAGTTTTACCTGTATCTTTGGGGTCCTCGTTTGCTCACCATGAACCATTTTAGAACGTTGAATAACTTTCTCCATCTCCTCTTAGCTTTACAATTGACCATGGGTGTAGAATGTGCCCGCATGAAGCTATCAACAGCACTCTGTAAATCTGCTTCAATGTGGCACTGAGATTGAAGATCAGTATCAAAAAATTGCAGATGATCTTCATCACTAAAAACATGGGCCATTGGATCCGTGTCACAGATCAAAGAGTTGGAGACTTGGGCTGGAAAACTAAGAGTATGATCATATCTAAGGCCCATGCTGTCAAAATTAGGCAAGCAATAGTCATCTAAGCCACTAGTTCCAACAGAATATATGGATGACATGATATCTGGAGAAGAGGCACTTGCTTGTGTGTAATTGAATCCCCCACTCTTTTGAGGAGCCAAAAGCTTGTTGGCGCTTGATCCCTCGGTCCTCGGAGAACTTGGGGAGTAAAGTACATTAGTCAACTTTGAAGATCCATTCATCAGAGAGCCTTCATCATCACAAAAGGTAAAAGTCTCCCCTTGGTTATATGCAGAAATAACCAAGTTTTGAGCATCAGCCTGATGGTGGAAATTCATATTGGTAAGTATTAAGGAGAAATAACAAAATAAAGGGAAAAAATAAATAGGTGATCAGAGATAAATACCTTTTCAGTTTCAGACATCTTATCTACTGGGACATACTCGCATTCAGAGAGTAGCCCTGTCACTTGTCCCACAGCATTGACGACCACACCAGATTTCTGTTGAGAATGAGAAGGGAAGTACACTAACCTCGCCGTGTCAAGTGTGCAAGTTCGAGCATGCTCCACAGTTATTTCCCACATCTTTGTTGACATCCCAGTACCCAATATCTGCACATTCCCGAAGCAATGTATTTATTCATTTGCCCTAGAGAAACCAAGTACTTACCTATTTCCAGAAATTAGGAGAATGCTTATCATTCAGAACACGGAAGGAGTAATATAAATTTATATGAGAATAAGATCAGATATGTCTTCTACAATGTTTTTCCCCTGGAGTTCAATCGTGCCAGTTACCAGAATAGTATGGTATGTCCTCATCAATATATAAATCCATTACGTTGAAGGTTTACTTGATAATACCAAAGCTACTCTAAATACCTTGATACAAAAAATGGACAACTAAACTGTTTCATGGAAGTTTTTCCTGTAATCCTTTGAATGACAAAAATATCGGAAATAAAAGACACTCTAAACTAAAATTCCCAGGTTTATTGACTAGTAGCTGCAAAATAGAGAGAAAGAGAGAGAGAGAGATATTAAAATACTACTAAATTAGTTATTACATTGCGCAGCTTTGCTGGATCCAGATTGAGAAGTGTGAGAAGATCTTTAACATTAAAGATCTTTTCCCGACTCAAACGCTTGTGGAAAGCTCCATCCTTTCCTATCTTTTCCAGTCTCCAAACTTCATCAGACAGACTAGGAGGGTGGTGTTTCTTGTACACTGCAGCCAAAATTCAGACATTGGAACTAAGTTTAATCCCTACATTGTTTTGACAAGTGACTTGAAAAGCTTAGATATGTTTTCTTATGTGATATCTATGTACTGAAGGGACTCAATTTTTTTAGGATTTCGCTTTTTCCAAAAAGAGAGAGAGAGAATGCAAGGTAAATAATTGACTAATTTACACCAAGAAGAAAATCACATATGGATATGGAATCAGAAAAGTTCAGAACCAGTAAAGAGCAATTTGGTATCCTGCTATTTTGTTACTATATTTTCCACATAAAAAGATGTCAGTCAAGCAAAACCAACATTTTCATGTAAGTCACATTAATTTTGTACAGTTCTTTGTTTCTTATTGTTCAATATTGTAAACTCCATCTCTGACATCTGAAGGATTCAAAATTAGTCTAAAAAGTCGACTTTGATAGGATCTGCAAACATTAGATCTCGATTCATCTAAGCAGAAAAGGGTTATATTTATATACTCACATTCTCCTCGGTGATCCCTGACAATAAATGACTCTGTCTTTGCTTCTCTTATTCTAATACCATCAAAGTTGTCCACAACTCTTGCCCCAAGCCTGAACCTACGGCTCCTTGTCCAGCTTGAATTATCTGTATATGAAATTTCACTCACCATACCAATCCCATCTTTAAGATATAAAATTACATCTCCTGTAAGGAGGGGCTTTTTTCCTTCCCTCTCTCTCACAATATTGCTCCTGAACTCGTCAGGTGTCCAAATGTCACTTTCTTCTTCAAAATCACCCTCGAGGACTACAATTTCTACCTTAGCTAAAGATTCAGATCCTGTAGTAACAATCTTCGCTGTTTGGGCATCAACTAAACTTATCCTTAAGTTGGAGCCATCCTCTCCTTCAATTCGAGCCCCAGTAAAGACAGGAAGAGAAATGTTGTTATCAAACTGCAGCTGCAAACTTCTTGACTCAGTAGTGAGCATCTCCTTTCCACAGGTCCTGAAAAGGGGGGGAGGGGGGAAGATGCATGAGAAACAACTACAGTCAAGCTAAACAATTTCAAACCATTCAGCTAAGCTTTTTTTCCCTAATCCATTGTCCCTTTGCTTAACAAGCAGCCCCATGTTTGAGGCACTGGAATTTAAGTTATCAGCAGAAGATCATTTCTTACTGTTTTATGCTGGTTAAATGCTTCCTTAGGGCCACTTCGATTTCCTCCTTAACCTGCAAAGATTTCACATATATGATTGGTATCTGATATCAACTAGCAGTAAAAGTGGAAGTAACATTTACAGGACCAAGATCCAAACCTGCTACCCCAGAAAAGTATTAACATAAGATATCAGCTCAAAAAAAACATATCCAATTATTTCTAAAACCACTAACCTAGAAAGGCAAATATATTTTGCAACATTACTGGACTTGACACCCATAGCACAATATGAACACATTTCCATCTTGTTGGTTCATTTATCTCACAATATCGCAAAAGTATAAATTATGAAATGCATAACCTAAAACCTCTAATATTTTATTCATGTTATTCAGCTTATATGCTTTCTATATGCAAGGCATAAATTGGAATGGAAACATAAAATTTATCTATGGTAAATCCTGCACTGAAACAAATTTATGCTCTAATTCCCTCGATCAAAGCCCATCAATCAAGGTTGGTGACTTAGGAGACCAGTCAGTGAGCTCACATTCATCCAAGAAAGTTCTTGAATTGTTTTCTTTCTCTTCTTTTTCCTCATTTTTCATTTTATTTATAGACGAGTGGCACAAGTATGCTTTAGGAGACTAGGAGAGTAGCCAACTTTTATTAAATATTTCCAGACTTGTTTCATTAAATCTAGTAATTGAAGCCGATAATGGGGTTTCAAAAAAGTAATGAAGTAGAATTTAAAGTATTTCTTTCATTTGTGAGTCTTCTGTGACATGACAAGCTCGAACTCCAATCACGAAGTAGTACATGTGACTGCATGAGGATTGAGGAAGGACAAACACACAGTTCTCTTATATAGATAAAGGATTAGTTAGAAAGCCCTCTATCTGCTGTTGCCCACAAGGTGGAAGGATACCTGGTATCAGGCCAAAACAATAGCCACCATAAAGTGGATCCAACACAAGTTATCAGCAGCCCGAAAAGCATGGTGGTAACTCACGAACAATACTTATATTGTCTAACTAAATAAATTCAATAATTCTAATATATATAGAATCCCAAAAGTAAAGATTATCACATCTCCATGAAACAGCATAAACAGAGAAAAAAATTGAATACCAATAATATAAATGTAATGATAAGTGAAATAAGGGACTTCATACCACTCGACGAACCAAGGGCTCTAAAATTGGCTCCAGCAAATTCCTGACAGATTGTAACTTCATCACCTCGCGCACCACACTAAACATTATTCATTACAAACAAAGTAAAATGTCAAAAAAAAAAAAGCCTCAATAGTTCTGTTAGTCGAATATACTGCACTGCATACACACCCCAAAATAAATAAATAAAATAAAATACATCATCACATTGGTCCTTTTTTAATATGAAATTATGCCTGCTTAAATGATAGGACAAAAAGGGGTTAATTTGACACTAATTTCTCATCCCTAAGGAATATGCCTGACATCAATTCTCCTTCAAACGTAGCAAACCCCATTCACTCGTGGGACAACGCCCATTTTTATTTTTATTTTATAACAATCTAAAGCACAACACATAGATTCATCGAAAGACCATTAATGTTACGCCGTGAACGTTTCAGCATAAACAAACGAAGCCCGGGGTTAATTTTGCGCTACATTTAAATCAAAAGCACAATTCACTTATAAAACTCCGCAGAGCAAATAAGCCATCAAAAATTTAGGCACAGGGACCATTCAATCAAAAACCCCATTTGGGTTTAGACTCATCCACCCTCCAAGGTGTTAACTTTGTGAAATTGTTGCTTACCCATTTCGAGTTTCAGAGAGAAACGAAGATGATTGTACCTGGAGAAAGGAGGAGGCTTTCTACGCTTATCATCAGGAGTCTTGCCATCATCGGGGCGCCTCTTTAGCGACATGGTCGAAGGAACAGAAACAGAAGAAAGAGGCTATTCGGTTGTGTTGGGCATTCAAATCGAACAACATGCGGCTCAAGACAAGATACAAAGGATAGAGGAACAAACAACCACACCAATATATGTATATATGTGTATATGGTAACACCCAAAAGAGGTATTAACTAGTAAACGACAACAAACCCCCCCCTGATAGATAAAATAAAAAAAGGTGGTTGCGTTGTTCTTGCTTTCTACTTTTTTCTTTTTTCTTTTTTCTTTCTAGTACTTTGGTGTCATGTTTCTAACCATTATCCGATTTGTCTGGGTCTGGGATGCTTCTCCGCCATGAACCTTTCTCGTCATCTACTATCTTCGGTTTCAGTAACACCACCATGAATGTGATGGAGGATTAAGGAAGAGTGATTAGTGCTATAGCTTAAACTGAATTGAAAGGAAAAACAGAACACATCAGCATGAGATAAAATGCGAGTGGGGTCCACGCCAAAGCGCGTTATGCGACTTGGTAAAATTGGTCCCACCCACCACCACAACACACCATCCTTCAACGCGCTTCCCGTGAAACCTGACTCGTCTCCCCCCTTTCAAGCCTTCAAACTTCAAAAAAATGACGTTACAACTTACATGTGATATTATTCATATATTTTTATTTTTATGTGAAATAAATATATATATATATATGGGAAATCATTGTCTCATTTTACATGACATAATTATCTCATGTTTCTCTCACATAAAAAGTTATGACATCATTTTTTTCTTTTTTTAATGGATGGTGGGCTCCACCATATTATGTATCTATAGTAGGAGATAAATATCTCCTACAACATGAGAAAAATAGAACCCTATATATATATATATATATATGAAAAATCAATTCTCATGTTACTGTAAACATGTTTTTTTTTCCTGCTCTCCCATCGAAAGCAGCGTTTTCTGTTTTCTTTATTTTTTTATTTTTCTCTTGCGTGGGACCCATATCTCACTCTATCAAATGGAAAAAAAGTAATTGGTCATGTTACTTGATACAAATAAAACCCATATATATATATTTTAAGGATTCATTTTTGTGCTGATGCAGATAAGTTATCTGCAGTAAGTTCAATACGACGTCGTTTTGGGACGAAAATTATGATATTTTTATAATTTTAATTATTTCAAGATTATAATAGTTTTTATATTTATAATTTTTTAAGATTTTAATACTAAAACAACGTCGTTTTAGAAATAAATGCAGATAACTTATCTGCAAAAATATTTTTTCCATATTTTAAACACATAATTTTATGTTATTTATGAAAATAAAACAATTATATTTTGGTAATCTTTGCTTATTTTTTTATATTCTCTTTCATATGCAATACTCTTTCTTTTCTTTTTCTTCTAATTATGTGAAAGAGAAAAATAAAAAATTATTAAATATGCATCAAAATACATTTATGTGACATAAAAATTGTGTCCCTTAAAATAATAATAAAAATAATTTTATTTAACCGCTTAAATTTTTAATAATATTAGGTTATATTTGATATGAGATTCTCGTGATTTTGTGCTTTAAAGTTTTGTCCAAATTTTATTTTTTAAAATAACTCTTTTTTTTTTTTGGGTATGAGAAAAGAAAGTGTGCCATTGATTATGTGTTTATAGTATTGTATTGCTGTACAAATACTAATTTCAATGTAATGTACTTGGAATCTTTAGTTAATGGTATTAGCGTTTGTCTTTTCTTTTATTTTTTAATCAAGAGGGCTAAAAAAGCCCAAGCAAAAGAACCGAAAAAACAGGAAAAACTACCAAACTTATTCGGGAAGTGCCATAGCACGATCTCTCCACACAGACCCAAGGTCTCCCAAATACAATAGATGAATACCACTTGCGGGTTCTTAATTTCTGGTGAGCTTGCTCCGAAGAATCTATTATATATTTAGTCAATTAATCAGCACAAATGTTTTCTTCCCTTAACATATGTTGTATTCAAATCTGTCAATCCTTTTCCAATCATGTCCATATATCAAAGAGCATTTGTCCTTTTAAATGCTACACCACATTTGATCAGCCCAGTAATTATTATTAGTGAATCACTTTCCAAAATAATTCAATATTTATCCCTTTTTTTCTTTTTTTACACATAAATTTTTTCAATTTAAATATTAAATAAAATATAGTCATTTTAACTAAAATAATTATCCACAAACATCTTTTCATTAGTTAATAGATATAATTTAATTTTATTTGGAAATTAATTTTGCTTTTATGATTTACTAGTATAAAAAGGGAAAATTTCAGTGCGCTCTCCAATTATAGGATAAGAGTTGATTGTAAATAATTTTACCTTTATAAGTTGGTTTATAAAAATTAAATGTAATTTAAATTAAGTTGAACGTTAGTTTTCATTTTTTACAAACAATAGATATTTTTTATTTTAATATTTATTTTATTGTTGTTGGTTCAAATAATTAAATATGACCACTAGAGCAATTTTTTTCTTTTAAATGTACGCGTAAAATAAAATTAATTCATCAGTTTATAATTTTTTAACTGCAAATTTTATGTATAAATTAAATCAATTCAGAATAAATTGTTAAGAAACAAGTGAACAAAAAAAATTGAAGCTTTTTTCCTGCTAATGAAACACATTATGGATGGTTGGTGGTTGAGCCAGTTGTTGAAGAACATAAGGCTAAGGATGTCAGATAGAGAATTTATTCAAAGCAACATATAAACTAGTATATCTCCTTGGTAGTTGGAAAAATTTAATATAATAGTTTAACATGTGATAGAATAAATAAGACTGCAAAAATCTACACTCTCATGTGTCTCGAGTCAATATACTATATGCTCAATAAGTTAATGTTTTAAATCTATAAATAAATTATTTTAAGTAATTATACTCTTAACCTGTTTGTCACTTTTTTTAAAGTTAAAAACTAATTTAAGATAATGTCAAAAAGAAAACTTAAAAAAATAAAATTTAAAACTATTTGATAATTATATAAATTTATTATGAATATGAAATAAATTGTTATTACTTATTAGGATGAATTATTAGGATAAAAAGTCAAAATAATAAATATAAATTTAGAATAAGGATGAAACTTAAAAATAAAAATGAGAACTCTAAAATAATAGTATATATCTTAAAAAAAATATTTTAGGAGCTTTTAGCTTTTATTTTTTTTTCATTATCACAAAATGTTATTTTTATATTATACTGTCAATATATCTTTACTTATTTATTTTAAAAGTTAATTAACTTTAAAATAGCATTCTCCCGCATCCAACAAACAATCTATCAATTTTATTATCAAATCTCCAAAATGTTTTGCATTAGATTACATGAATGATGCAATAACAAATAACAAATAACTTTGTATTACATTACCTTTAAATAACATTTTCCCAAGATAGCATCCAACAAAAAAAACCATCAATTTTATTATCTAATCTCCAAATTGTTTTGCATTAAAATATGTTTATGTAAAGTGTTATAAAACCCGACTCGGCCTGTCCGATCTGTTGACCCGTAAATCAGATCTCCAATTGATTCAGTTCAGATATTTGACCGGTTATACATTTAACCTGGTATAAAAGTGATCAATCAGTCCTCAATCAGGTTTAACTGATGTTAAATTGGCATCAAATTTAAAAAAAAATAAATAAAAAAATTGTGAAATATTGGACAAAATGCTTTAGAAATATCACCAATAGAATTTGAATCTAGACCACGTAAATTATAACTTACAACACTTATCGGTAAACCAATTCTATTTATTAGGTTTAATTCGTCTTGTTTTATATTTATTATATTTTATTATATATATTTAAATTTTAATATATTCCCTTTTAACGAATGACACATATCATTCTAATTTTTTTAAAAAAATTAAATTTAAATTTAAGCACATATTTTTATAAATTTATTTTTCTATATTTTTTATATCATATATATTTTTTAGAATTTTAAATATATTTTCTTTTGATTCGTATTTTTTTATATTTTACCTAAATTTAAAAATGCTCATACGATTGACGAGATATCTGTTAGCTAGTTATGATCATGTAAAAGTTAATCTCGTGTAACATAATCAATTGCTAATATCCAATCTATTAGTTTTAATATCTTATTTAATTGTTTACCAACAAAAAAATCTTATTTTATTGACCTCCTAAATATTTGAAACTATGATTATTTGTCTTTCTTGCTTTCCTTCGAAAGGAGGTTATAGTATATTCAATGCTAAGATATTTTTTACTTTCAGCATGTGCATACAAATATACAATACAAGTGTTTAGAGAGAGACGATCGCACTGCTAACAAGTAAACAACCCACAGATTAAGCGAAAACAATAGACTCAGCTTGAATCCGCGGCGTGCCATGCTCATAGTCATGGAGTTGCGTTTTGTGAAAACTATGCATATTTTGCATTCTTGTATTCTATTGACGCTCCTCCCAAATTCTTCGCACGTTTCTTTTTTTTTTTTTTTTTTTTTGTAAATACGCGTTTCTTATTTTATCATTCTCAGCCACACACGTTGCCAGTTTCTTATACAAATAAAATTGCTTTTCTTGACCTTGAACTTTCGTAAACTATTTATGTGATTGATTTCATTTTTAACAATTACTATAATTTAAGTTCTAGTATGTGTTATAAACAATGTAGTGTGATTTTAAGTTTTAAAATTAATTAATTTGCATAAACTTCTAAATATATAACAAATAATATTGCCATGTAGTTAATTATTAAAATTGAAACAAGAATTTAGTTAAATTTATATATTAAAGGTAGTACATGAGTTATTTTATGTACTATCCTTAGTATATAGTTAAATCTATAAAAGTTTGTAAATAAAATTTATAAATAAAATCTTCCGTTTTGTATTTTAAACAAAGAACGGAACTTTAAGAAGAGTAATCATTTATGAATGATAACGGACAATATGAAATGAGATGAATGAAAGTGGGGAGACAAAAAAAGTTATATTCCACTTTTTGGGATATTTTGGGAAGAATAAAATGAGAAGGATATAGTATTTTGTTTGAAAAAATAACAAAAAATGAAAGAAAGATGCTATTAATACGGTCAGCATTTTACATTTGCATACTGTTATACATTATTCAAATTTCTACAAAAATGTTTATCTTTACGCTTAAACTCAACCTTGCATGCGGAAAACGATAAGCGTAAAGATAATATCAAATCAGCTTCAATACATACGCAATGATTTTAGTGATATAAATTCTCTACTTACTTTTACCTCACTTATGGAAATAATTATACGCTCTAGTTTGACTGTGAAACAAAATAAACCAGGGAGACATATTTGTTAATCATATAAAATAATTATTAATATATCTGGCAAAAGGGAATTTAATAAATTATACATAGTAGATTCTAATATGGAA